TAATAGAAGTGATAATACAAGTAATAGTAGGATAATAATAAAACTGTAAAAAAATATGGAAAACTGATTAGCAGTGTGTGTGTGTTTGTGTGCGGGTGGGAAAGAGAGGCTCTAATGATATGAAAAGAAAGTTTGGACCAGATAAAAGTGAGTTTTTGAGTGAAAATGAAAGTGAGAAGAAAAGTTGAGAAAATTGAGGCTGATGGCCACTGATTGATCACTTTAAAAATTGTTTGTTACAATTAACTGAACAAAACGACCTTTTTTTGCTGCCATGCATTAATGACATTTCGCAAATTTTTTGTGCTATTTCAGCTGTTTATTGGGATATTTGGTATGCGGGATGAGAGAAAGGTGTGATTGTTGTTTTGCTTAAAGCTTAAGAGGTTAAAGTTAGAGCGAAAAGTAAAATGATATCAGTGCAAATCAGTCTGAGAAGAACAATGTTAGATACGATATGATAGATAGAGGAATATGCGAAATAATATGTGAAAGAAATGTAGCGAGTGATAATAGCGGGTGAAGGAATAGCTGTAGTGATAAGCTTCTAATAGTGTGTGTGTGTGTGCAAGTTTGTGCTTGTTAAAAGTGTCAATTTGCAAAATACTAAAGATTTGATAAAGGGAAAAAGGTAATGGTGAGGAAAAGATGAAAATGAGAAATGAAACTAATTCATTTTACTACTAAAATGAGCTGAAAAATGATTTTTTGCTTTTTGCTCAGAGTGGCAGAATGTGGTGATGGTGGGCAAAGTTGAGAGCAACTCAATGAAGTGTTTTTCAACTTTTTTTCAGTAGTCAACTAAGCAGAGTTGAACTGAGGTATCACTGGGTTTAGATAATGATGCATTTATGCATGTGTGATAGAAACTAATTATGATAAAGTTAAAATATAAGTGAAGAAATAATAAATAATTAAAAACAGGGAGGACAGTTAAACTGAAAGAAAGCGGTAAATGGTAAATGTGGCAATGAAAACTTTAGTTTGGCTAGATATGGCAATGTGAAGCTATTTTTTCTAGTGAGTTTTTTAATGAGTAATAGAGGTGCAGATAACTGCGACTAGATCCAGCTTTAAATCTTTTTGATAGCTAGGTATCTAATCAATCTATTTCTGATCACATTTGTGAGGGTCTGGAAACGCTCAAAAAGAAACTGAGCGTGCTAAAAAGAAGAATTGAGAAAATGCTGAAAAAACGCTTAAAGAATAAAGTATGCGACATAGTGATGGGAATGAGAATGAAAGCTAGCATCGAGTGCTAAATGATGAGTGATGATGAGCAAAAGTGAAAGTGATGATGAGAAATGAAAAGCCGAAAATGGTAAATATGTGAAAAGTTAGCATGAATCAAAAATGAAAGAATAATGTTATGTGGTGTAGACTATGAAGATCTAAACTACATCATCATAGAGATGACATGAAGTTGGGAGTGTTAGCTATAATGAAATTTTTTTTGTTTGTTTTTTGGTTTTTTGGTGAGTGATGAAAAAGGGATAAAGTAAAAAGAGAGAAAGAGTAAAGTAGAGTGATATAAGTGGGCGATAAAATGAAAAGATATCAATTGAATGAAAGTTGAATGGCATTCTGTTTGTTGAAGTGATGAAAGTGATAATAGAACAAATGAAATGCCGATAATCGGTGAGCTGAACGAGCTGCTGGACGAAAGAAAACTGAGGGCTTTGTAGATAGTAGTGTTGAGTAGGCAATCTATTTGCTAATCTAATCTAACACTAAAAAGACTGCTCAAATTCAGTGCTCTAAGCAGTGCTGGCCACGGTGACGGCCGCTGCTGTGGGGACCGAAGCGGCGGCGGCAGCAGTTGAAACCGTTACCGGAAGCGGCACCTTTCGCTTCACCGGCGAAGTGTTGGTCGCCTTGTTCACCAGCAGCTTTGCCGGGCAGTACGGATTGGCGGCGGCACTGTACGAACTGCTGCGACTGTACAGCTCCACCAGCGTCGTCGGCGGCGGAAGGTCATCTTCAGAAGGTTCCGGTTCGCCGGAGAAGACTGCTGGAGCTACAAAAGAAGTGGACATAGTTGGTACCACTGCTGAAGCAGAAACGGCATTTTTGCGCGACTTTTTGGAGGACTGACCTCCTTTTCCGTGCACTGCCCGCTGCTGTTGCTGCTGCTGCTCACCTGGAGCCGGCCACTCCCCTTCAGAGGTCAGATTGATCAGACTGTCGTTGATGCTGATCTGCGGAATGGTCATCGGCGGCGGAGTTGCAGTTGCAGTTTTGACCTGCGACACTTCGGCAATGTTTGCTGAAGATATCAGGGGAGGCTGAAAAGCAGCAGCAGCAGCAGAAGCAGTGTGAGAAAGAGGAGGCGTGGTGGTGGCGATGATGGTGCCGTCCACCTGCATCAGCGTCGTACAGCCGGGGAAGAGGGCCTGGGGCGTCAGCGGAAAGAGCTTCGCCGCCTGGTCAAAGGGCATTCGAGGGTAGACGATGCGCAGGGGCTCCACCTCGGGTTGCTGCTGCTGCTGCTGTTGTTGTTGATGGTTGTGGCTGTGGTTGTGGTTGTTGTGGTTTCGGGAGTAATGGGCGGCGGTCATCACCTCGGAGCAGTTGTGGTGGCCATTGAAGGANAACAATTGTGGTGGCCATTGAAAGAGTGGTGGTCACTGGCGGGCATCGACACCGAGTGCTGGTACACTGGATGCTGCTGCTGGTGTTGGTGGGGGTAATTGTTGTAGTGATTATTATGGTGGTGATTGGGGTGTGGATTTGGGTTTGAATAGGAGTGATTGGGGTGATGAGGGTGATGAGGGTGCTGGGGGTGATACGGGTGGTTCTGCTGTTGCTGCTGATGATGATGATGATTTTGATACTGATTATGGTGGTGATTATTACCTCCTCGCTGGTAGCTGTTGTTCTGTCCATGTGGAGTGGTGCTGTAGTAGGAGGAGGAGGTGGCAGCAGGAGTGGAAGCTTTCTTCGAAGAGCCACGTCCACTGAAGTTGGAGTTGACAATCGGTGCTGATGAGGGGGGTGATTGAGGATAGGGGGAGATAGGCTGGTACAGCGAAAGGGCGCCATGAGGGTGATGGTGGTGATGGTGATGGTGATGGTGATGAGGGTGATGAGGGTGATTAGGGTGATGCGGCGGAAGGTGATGTGCATGAGGGTGATTGAAGTGCACCAGATTCTGCCCGTAGGTGGAGTGGGCACGGGCGTGCGCGTACAGCGGCTCCACGGTGACGCCCGCCGGAATGGTGGGCAGCGGTGGCGC